CCCCACGGAAAACCCACACGCCCACACCTTGCGCGGGCATTTTGGCTAATTTGAATTTGATTTCATTCGGAAAGTTTGCCGTTTTTGGCATTTGTTTCATGGCGCTGTTTTGATTCGTGCGACAAGTGCAAATGATTGTACTCGTGAGTTGATTAATTGAAAATGAATGCGAGGAGGGGTGAAATTGATTATCGTTTTGGATCCAATTGAATTTTCTTGAAATTCACAGAAATTATCCTTAGCAAAAAAGTTGGCAAGCCTATGGCTCACATATGTATGTACATATGTGTGCCCTGGAAAAAGAGACAATTTTCCAACAACTTGATTTCCAGCCGCAATGAATTTCAGCGAAATGAATAGATGAATGAATATACTAAATATATGGGGCACCAACGAATTAGCCTAAAATTCACTGAAAACATCCTTAGCACAAATGAAATGAACCTCTAAGGTTTCACAGGAATACAAAAATAGATGTTCCACAAAAACGGATTTACAAAGTCCTCTCGCGGCCCAAACGAAATCCTTTCAAATGCGTGAGTGTGCGTGCGTGTCATATATATCACTAGTCACTAAAAAAATAGAAAAGGAAAAAACAGGCGTTGAAGGAAACTTAATTGAAAACATATTTATATGAAAATTGGAGCAAGCATACGAAAACCAACTCAAGCGACAGAGAAACAAAAAGTGTAAAAATGTTTAAATATTTTTTACGAATCGAATCGGGCAAAGCTAACAATATGCCAAAGGGGTTAAAGGGGTTGCACTTTGGACATTAATTGAACTCGACCATTTGGGGTCGCTACCATTTGCCACAGGACATTGTGTGCTCCAGCAGTTTATACATAAACACGGCTAGATATATGAATATAAATATATACATATATACATAAAGATATTTGGGATCGGGGGCATTGCGGGGCCGACGAAACTAACACTAAAATGATAATGAAAAAATCGAGAAAATCGCATAAAGGAGACATTTTTTTTAGAACGTACCTTTAATAGAACGATTAAGAAGCGTTCACGCAGAACAACTAACACTAATTTTAATGCATACATTTAATGGTAAAATTAACATTAAACTAAAACTAACAAATGACATTGATAAGCGATATACACAGCGACAAAAAATTAGCAAAATTGTTTAATAATGAGCGAAGCAAACCAAACACGAATTGAATTAACTTTTAAGAACATAACATAAATGGAAGAAAAAAAAAGCGAACAAGAAATTAAGACAAGATATTTAAACAAAGCCAAGAAAAAAACTATAAAATTATACGATTTACAAAACTAAGAAACAAAAATAATTGTAAAAATAGAAACAACTTTTTTTTGCTCAAAGCCAGGGGGCAATTCCCTCACCCTCATTAACTTCCCAAGAAAAAATTAAACACAAAAATAATTATATTTCGCGGCACGTAAAAATTTGTTCGTCACGAAAGTAAACCACAAAAATCCAACAAAAAACGATTTTCTAAACAAAATGTTTGCAAAAATTGGCCAACCCAAAACCAAATAATGTTTAAAATTAAACTAAAACCAAACCAACATTCAAGTAAAACCACAAAAAAAGATATGAAAAACATAAGAAAATATAATTAAAACCAAAACTTAGCTTCTAGTGAGAGAATTTTTAAACAAAGCAAAAACGAAACGATAGTAAATGCCCCAGAACCCAAAATATGAAACAATGTTAACAAATCGAGGAAAGATTAATATTAAATTGAATAATAAGATCGGCTAGCCGACACTGAAATACCCTTGCAATCGATTACAAATGTCTAGAATCATGAAAACGTTAATCAGCCCACAAAAACTCGAAAGTCTTTCTAAAAATACCTTTAATTGTGTAACTTTATTAGGTTTTACAAAAATATTTTTTTACTGCGTTTTTTGAATTAAAGAAATAGTTTGGTTTCCAAACCTAATACGTAAATATTTTGGTAATTGTACAAATTGTACTCGTACAGTTGTAGAAACGATTCCGATTATATAATGAGAATTCATGTAGAAATGCATTGAACTTTTGAGAACGTACGATTGCAAGGATATCGAATTAAAAGCTTCGAAGGAAGAAGTGCGAAACCTAAAACCAAATGAGAAACCGAAATTTAACTAGAGAATTCTTTTCAAATATCAAATAAAGCAAGAAAATAAATAATATAATATTTCAGCCACGAAGGGAGAGCTAAGAAGTGAATAAAACAAACGAATGCAACCAACCAGTAACAACAACACACACATTTCAATTGCGCTCGTTTAGCCCATATATAGTATATTTCAATTAAAAGAACGAAAAAAAAAACACATTACAATATTTCAATATGTCATTAAGTCACAGCGAATAAACAACAACAATAAGTTGAAGGCGACTTACGAATCTAAACGAGAGAGAAACTGCGATCGTGTGTGCGAGGGAGAAAGAGAGTTGAAGAGATATAGTAACTATATATATCAGCCGCGACGATCTCCGTTGGCGCCAAAAATCGAGCGATACTAACTAAATTTGCTAAGGGTTTCAGCCACTTGGTTTATGCGTGTTGGCTAAATCGTGATTGTTTTAAATTTAATATTGATCTAGAGTTTTTATAAATAATTGTTAACTAGTGACAACGGTGCATCAGTGTATTGCACTGTAGTTTATCACGAATAAGTACTATTAGAACAGCGCGTTTGGCAATTAATTCAAATTCTACGATTTTAGATTTATAACCTTATTTTAAATACTTCTAGGAGATTAATTTGATTTTAATTAGGCCTCACTTTTCGACCTCTGCATATATAGCCCTTGAGATTATCTGCACTTTTGATTTATCATTTATATTCTTGTTTCAATTTAGTTCACATTTTGGGTATGTCGCTCAAACAAAATATTGACAACCTTTGGGACAGTTGTTAACGCTTATATATGATTCGTTGAAGTATTTGAATAATTTTTGATTGAAAGCTAGACAACCAACTGAGCTCTTCAGAGCATTTACAACAAAAACGTTAACAAATTGACGAATTGTTAAATATTCTCTAAGATTTCTACTATAATATGTTGACAAGAGTCAGAAGTGTACTGCTAACTTTTTGATTACGATCTGAATGCTGGCCGAAACGCACTGTTCGCTGATCGCGATATAGCAATCACGCATAAACCGAAAGGAGCCTGAGAGAGAGATAGAGAGAGCGCTAGTTTCAACTTGTGAATTATTAGCCTAAGCTGAACTTGTGTCTTTTTTGGTTTGGTTTAAGGAAATGTGGTTTTCTACTGTGTAAAAGTGTGCTGCGCCCGTGCTCCAAGGCGCGATTAGGTATCAACGGCCTGGTCATCGTTGTCATCCTCCGGCTCATGTCCACGTCCCTCGCGAATCCGCTTCAATTTGCGCTTCAGCATCATGACGCCTGCCAGGGAAAATGGTTGTAAATTAGCTAGTCAATATCGCGTTGAGTTGATACAAGAAGCTTACACTTTATGGCCTGAAAGGTTTTGGCGGAGGCTGAACTGGTTTCGGAGGGCAGCGAATTGGACGTGGTTCTTATGTGCGCAAGCTTTACCTCCAAATAGGCCTTCTTCAGTGTCTTGTAGTGCCGGAACTCACTGGTGTCCTTGACTAGGATGCACTTGGCTGCCGAACCCTCGCCCGAACAATCCGACGGCGCTGTGTGATATATCTGATGGTAGAAGTACTGCAGCACCGGTGAGTTCCAGATGGAGAGGCCGTACCACAACCAAATGGGCACATTCAGGGGCAGCTTGAAGTTCTTGGCAAATAGCGTGGGTATGAAGTACTTGAAGGGCAGCAGGTTGACAAACACATACGCCCACACCATAATGCGCAAGCCAAGGAAAACCTGGTAGATGATCCGGTGTGAATTGGTGCTGGGCAGGACCAGCAGGGCCAGCACTTCGGTGAGTATGCTGTACAGGCCCACCGTCAGATTCAGGCCCACAAAGTAGTTTTCGTACCTAAAAACAAAAGCAGAGTATTCATTTCATGTTTTTGAGCTTAAAGTGCTTCATAGAAAATAGGGAAGGGACCAGATCCCTACCAAACGTGTCTCGACTTGCCTGTAAACATCGATGGCGACGAGGGACAGCAGGTAGAGTCCCTTGGAGCCCACCTCCAGGAAGTCAGCGTCCTTGAAGTCCAACCACGCCCCATGCAGGTAGAACGTGATGATGAAGATCGAATAGAACTGAAACTTCTCCGCCTGGTGGGATCGGTAGAAAATCAAGTTGTCCGAGGAGTAGAAGAGCGAGTAGCGCCCCTGGTTCTTCATCAGCTGGGGCAGGATCATGAACTCGTTGTAGAAGTGCAGGAACAGACAGCTGGCCGCATAGAAGGCGATGTTCCAGATCACGCGGGCGAACAGCCTCCGCTGAAAGTGCTTCATGCTCGACGACTTCAGAAAGAACTGCAAAGGGAGAGGAGCATTGGTATGAGGCAATTAGTCGGGCATTGGTCTTGGGTCGTTACAGATAATGGCTTCTATGGCCTATGGTCAGCGCCGATGTGTCGACTGTCGCCGAATTTTTGCTATCACCAAAACCAGGAGCGAAGTGCCAACCGAATGGAGAAGGAAGTACCACATAATACCGACATACCATCTGGACCCTTTAACTAAGACTGTCGGGAGTAAAATCAATAGCTTTCTGGTCTAATATTGATTTTACAAGGTACTACACATTCGAATAATAGTCGAGCATAGCTTAGTTGAAAACGAAAACAGTACAGAAAGTGCCGCATTTCGCCGCGCTGTGAAGCATCCGAAAAGGGTGGTAACAGTATTTTTAGCGCCCCATTTGGTTGGCACCCCGTCAACCCCCGGAATGCGAAAATCCGGCCCCGTGTCCGCTCTGTTTATTTATAAACGGCAAATTGTCCGAGCAACCCCTCAATAGAAAACTACAATTGGAGGCGCCGCATCGAGGGTGCTTGAAAGGCGATTGAAAGGATTAGCCACGAGCAGGACCCACCTGGAAGAGCCGCTGGAAGGCGTAGTAGCCGCAGGACAACGCCACAAATATCCAGAAGACGCCGTTTATCAGGTAATAGAGGTCTATGTCCCGCACCATCGAATCGAAGCGGTCGTTGGTGATCAGGTATTTCAGCGGCAGAAAGAAGTTGCTGATCTCCGCCCAGTAGTCGGGCGGACCGGCCTTCATGTCCAGAATGGAGGTCATGCTGCTCCTCGGCGGGACTTCCCGTTCTGCCGCCCCAGAATCGCGAGTTGGTTTTACTCGTTTTCAGCCGAAAATTGGGAGAATTTGTTTCGTTTCCATGTATCGATAGTACCCGATAGCTTTGGACCAATAGCGTGATATCAAACGTGTATATCGATTATAGAACCGCCGAAAAGTACTACTGCTGTTATGCTCATGTTGCAGTGCTGTTAGCGTTAACAGCGGGCCAAGTGCGCCAAATTTGAATGCCAGTACACGGCGATAATTATAAGTTGCATTATCAATTATTTAATCAAAGTTATTGGGCACAGAAAGTGTATTTTGTTACCTTTATTTTAATCAACTAACTAGAATATTTTACACTTCAAATCCAGCAATATGACCTCCTCTTTGGCCAAAATCGAGGTCTTTCCCCCCGATCCAGTTGAGTTTTTTAAGGAGATCCTGCAGGAAGCTGCCAAAGGACATCCCGATGGATTCATACAGGAAATGAACCTGGCCACCGTGGACGAGGAATTCGGGGTCCTCAACCGCACCGTACTGTACCGAGGACTCACCCAGGATAACTGTGTGTTCTACATCACTCATCGGTATGTCCGCAACTTCAAGAACCTTCTGGCCAATCCCAAGGCCTGCATCACCTTCTATATGCCGGATGTTAGGGATGAGGCCGGAAATCAAAATACCTGGCAGGTGAGATTGATTGGAGCCACCGCCGTGGAACTTCCCCAAGGCGAAATGGATGCTTTGTGGGCCAAGGAGAATTTGGCTGCCCAGATCAGGGGTCACATCTGTCCATGTGGAGAACCCATTAACCACGATGATCTCAAGGCGAAGCACGATCAGTTCCTTCGGGATCACAGAGGAAAATCTATCGAGAGACCAGCAAGCTAGTGAGTTCCACCTTTCATATAACTATATGTACATATTTATTATAACAACCTATGATTGCAACTTCTAGTACCGCTTGGAAATTCCAACCGCAACGTTGGGATTTCCTGAAGGTGGGTCTCGACCAAATTGCGGATCGAGTGCAGTACCGCCTTCAAACGGATGGGAAATGGCAATCCATGCACGTGTCCACCTAATTGTGGCATGCCAACAGTAAAATTATGATCTTGGACGATTTAATTTTATTCAACAATATCTTTCTACAAACAGCTAAACGTACCGCCTTCAAACGGATGGGAAATGGCAATCCATGCACGTGTCCACCTAATTGTGGCATGCCAACAGTAAAATTATGATCTTGGACGATTTAATTTTATTCAACAATATCTTTCTACAAACAGCTAAACGTACAGACTAACAACTAAATTTGCTTTCTTCTCGACATGTTTAACATACAACTACAACATAGTTAATAAATATTACACAAAACAGCAAAAAAAAAAGACGTTTAAAAAATACAGTTAGCATAGAGTTACATAGGTTCGAGTAACATTAGAGCAGGTTAGTTACATATGCTTAATTGCCTTAGTTGCTTTGCTACACACACATACATATGTATAATACCCAGTGAGTTTCGGTTCCGTTTTCTACACAAATGCGCTGAGGGGCCCCCCGCCCCTGGTGGACTATTCCGACTATATCGCGCTGATCGTCTCGCGAATCCAGGCGGCGTTCGAGGCGATCTTGTCGTACATCCTGGGTCGCTCCACGCCCGACGGTCCGCAGGCGATCCGCCAGGAGGAGACCCCAATGAGCGCCCACTGATTCGTTCCGGGAATTAGACACTGTACGGGCGCTCCCGAATACTCCTCTTGCTGAAAATGTAACAAGCAAAAGCAGTTGAAGACTCAGTGCTACATCAAGTAATTGGAAATTAAAATATGTACATAAAAATAGTTTAATAAAATATAATTCTGGTCCACTCTAAAAAATGCTATGTAAATGTAAATTATGGCTGATTGGAATTATTTTACAATTTACAATTTGAATGTCAGCGGTTATTGTCCACTTCATAATTAAATATTTTAAAAATAATTGTGTATGAATTATGTAGGACCACTCTATTGCTTTAATATTTCACCATCGAACTAAACTAGTGTCTCCCCAATTGGCGATCGTGACGTCACACGCACGCGACATGCAGCAACGCGTTTGATGTAGAGCAAGAACAAGCAGTCGAAACAAAAACAAAATTGAATGAGTAATTTCTGGCTCGCTCTCTTTCTTACTCTCCCCAATTGCCATTCAAGTGAGCACGAGCGAACACATGCATGCATACACACGCATTTGCAACCCCCGTTACCTGCGAGGGCTTACCTAGGATAGCAAAAACAACAACTACGAGTGCAGCTGCAGGCATATAAAAGGAAAAACGGAGATGGCAAGAAAAAGCAAGGAACATCGCAAAAACAAACAAAAAACATAAAACGGAGCGCCAGCAGTTAGCTTGCATTCATTCGATCGGCAACTTTCCAAGCGAGCGCATCGCGGTGAGAAAAGTAGTAACAACAAAAAGAGAGAGAGAGAAGGATTTCCAGTGCGAAGATCGTTATCAATTTTACTATAAAATACAAAAAAAGAAAAACAAATGATGGCCGATACCAGGAGCAGCTTGAAGATCCTCTTCCAGGGCGAGACCAACCTCATCACCTGCGAATCCTCGAACACCTACGAAGAGGTCATCTCCCAAGGTGAGTCACGAAATTTTAATGGGAAAAGTGCAATATAGTGGCGTCGTCTTCCAAGCCAATTTAATTCAATACCCAAATTTGCGTGCCTTTGCTTTAAGTACACTGAATATTGCATCCCTACACAACATTTACATAATTCATAGCACTTTCTTCAGATAACTTAATATCAAAATAAGATTGCTTGAACATTCTTTTCATATATCTAAATATTATATATACCGTCAATTTTTTCATTCAGTTATTTCAATTTGTTGTTTTAACTTTAAGTTCATATTTTTCGCAATGCAAATGTATAATTTTGTAAATTTGGAAAACTTTAAATTGGTGTAGGAAATATTATTTGAGTATGGTGTAATATTAATTGACTGCCTTTTATTCCAGCCATGTCCCGCTTCGACATTCCGCAGACCCAAAAAAAAGCCCTTATCCTGACCAATGGCAAGGACTACGTGTTTGAGGCGCATTTGCTGGAGTACTTCCTACTTCTGTTTCCCTGCCCGGAGATCACCTTTCACCTGAGGTTTGACTGGTCAAAGATGCGCCGCAGTCTCGGCCAGACCGAATCCCTTAAGCGAAGGCGTCCAGTGGATTCAGAGCCAACTGTGGGCCAGAAGGAGGAGGATCAAGGCAAAGAAGATCCGTTGCCGGAGTACACGCCCGTGCCCGTCTACCGGATGAATTGCTTCATCGGATCGCTGCCCACTGGCGGCGCCATGCCCGTGCATCGTCAGAATTGCTTTCTTAGGGAGCAGTCCCAGCAGCAGCTGGTTGAGATTTCCATACCTCGGCTGCAGGAGGACGATGACCAGCAAAAGGAGCCGCCCAAGAAGCGCCTGCGCGTGGACGTCTGTGCCAGGCCAAGACGCACTGCGTCCACGTCAGTTGGTCCGTCACCCGTTCCTGTCCTGCGTCCGATTCGCATCTAGGTCGCCAACCACGGATTGTACATAGCTCTAGTATACGATACTCCAATTAAATGTACTCATAAGCTAAAAGGTTGAACCAATGTTCCTAAGACTTATACTATACCTATCGCACCAAACAAACGTCTAAGCCAAATGTTATATTATGTAGACTAACATTTTTTGTTGATAATTTTAAGCTATGTGAAAGCTACACACTTTAGTTCCACAGCTGTCTTTCGACCTATTATCGTATGATTTGAGATTACATTTTTTTTACTTTTAATTTTCAAATATACCATTTTATAAATATTAAATTCATCGCTTCTTTCTGTTTTCTGTTTTATACAAATTACTTATCATCTACATTTCGTGAATAATCAAATTGATATCCCCCTACTCTCAACGAAGTGGTTCAGTTTAATAAAGCTCAGATATAATAGCTTCAATATACGTAACACATTTCCCAGTCCGTTGGCTACTCACCGTGCAGTCGTACTTCTGGTAGGTGGCCTCCATGCACATGGAGTTCACGGTGGCGATGGACACATTCTCGCAGGGCGCCATGTCGCCCATCTTCAGCTGGACGCGCTGCAGGTGATCCCGCTGTCGGGACCAACCGAGTGTGTTGCAATTCGTCCAGATCTGCTCCTGGGCAGCCGGTCCAGCGGCCAAAACGGGTGCCTTGGTGGCCGTGCGGGCGGCGGTGGCGGAGGATGTGACCGCGGAGGAGGAGGAGTAGTAATTCACTTGCGGCGCATGATCCGGCAGAGGGTAGCCATCCAATTCCTGGTGCAGAGCCTCCGCTTTGGGCATATGGGAGGCGGCTGATTCGGCACCGAAGGGATCCTCCTGCTCGTCCTGATCCTCCTCTCCCTGGTTCTCCGTGGAGCTGTCCTGCTGCTCCTGCGACGGGATCAGGAAGAACTGCTGGTTCTCCTGCGACAATCGGCTGCGCTGCTGGCTGACCAGCTGACCCTCCAATCGCTCGGCCACCGGAACATGGGCTCTCCTCTGGGCCGGTGGCTGCTGGAGCAGACGTCGCTGCAGGGCGTCCGGCAGGCAAATGGGTCGCACATGGTCCGAGTAACTGACAGAGGTCTCCAGGCGCACCAGTGCCGCCGTCGAACCCTCCACCGGACTCTTGATCATGCCAATGATGCGGCGCCTCTGCGTCCACGGTGCCTTGGCGGACAGGCGAACTGCGCCCACAATGGCCATCCAAGTGGCGCGCGGCTGCCCCTGGAAACAGCCCTCGGTGGTGAGCACCCAGTCCTGCGAGATCAGGGTGCCGTCGCAAACGTGGATATCCTCGCGGAACAGCGCCACCAGCCAGGGCCAATCCCCGGGAGCGGACATCTTGGGCAGCGAGAGATGCTGCTTGGCATTGAACAGCGCCGACTGGACGCCACAGCGCAGCTCGCCGCAGCCCACGTAGAGCACTTGGCGTCGGGGGCAGTGCGTCCGTATGAAGCTGATCTCCGGCGCATGGGGATCCAGGACACGCACGTAGTCATTCAATCGCTCCGTATCGTTCTGCACATCGAATATTTCCACGGATCTGAAAGCATGACGATTAAGCATCTCACTTTATTTCGCCCTACATGTTGCCAAAAGGCATCCTTACTCGTATCCCAGGGACTTGCAAAGCGACTCGGAGACTGTTTGGCGCACCACCAGCTTGGCGTCGCCCTCCAGCCCCTCGGCGCACAGCTTGCCCACCACTCCCTTCTCGGAGAAGACGGCGTAGCCGGCGGAATGGAAGCGGGAGAGGTACGGAACCAGGGGCTCCGGCTGCAGCAGATCGGCGGCCAGTGGAGCTATGGACACTAGAAGGGGCACATGTGCATATAACGAGCATCGGATATGGGGAACAACTGGCTACTCACGGCAATCCTTCTCGTCGGCGCCGTCCGGACAGTCCGCCTTGCCATCACATCGCGCCTTGCGGGGCACACACGCCCTGCCACGCCCACAGTACAGGGCGTTGGGGGAGCAGAAGGCGCAGCTGCGCTCGTCGGAAAGGTCCGGGCAATCGGCGTAGCCGTCGCAGAGCCGAGGGCTCTGGACATTGGACTGCATGTCGCTGACGCAGTGGGGCTTCTGGTGGCAGGACTGGGTGCCCGTGGATTCCGGGAACCGCTCGCAGTCGAAGAACTGCCGGAAACGCTGCGGCAATCGACCGCCACAGCCGGCCATGAAGGACTCGCAGTACTCGCGGCAAATCTGGCCCGGAGTGGGCTGCAAATTGGAGCCGTGAGTGTCGCACGGCGGCTGCAGGAGCCGGCACACAAAGTCGTAGGCCTCCCGATGGCACTCGCCGTCCACCAGCTCCCGGAACACGATCACGTCCTCGGCCAACTGTGCGTAACTGGCGTGTCCCAGCAGATTCGGATAGGTTGTGATGTTGTAGCCCACCTGGCGGCAGTAGGACAGCTCCAGTGGTGAGCAGCGGCGTGGCGGCGCCGGCGTGGTGGTCACCACCGGCTCGGTGGTCTCATCGTGTCCGCCCAGCGGCGAACTGGACATCACGGGCTCCTCGATCAGGCCAGTTGTCTCCTTGATGCTTAAGCTGGCCACGTCCACCGTCATGTTGGCGAAGTGGCGACGCTGCTGCGGCGGCTGGGTCATCTCCTCGTGGAACAGGGCCAAAAGGTCGCCACTGCTCACCAGGCCCGCGTACGGATCGAAGATCATGTTGAAGTGCACGACTATGTTGTTGTTATCCTCGCTCCTGTGCGTCCAACAACGAGAGTACTCAATTATTGGCGGGGCAAATTAGGGAGATTTAGGATTAGGGCGGATTAGGGATAAGGCGCAGGGAATAGGAAGCAAGGGACGGGGGCAGTGGGTACGGAGGGCAGGACAGAGACAAGGGCAGTGTTACGCACCCATCCAGGGCCAAAATCTCGCTGCCCTCGTAGGCCTCCCGCAGGTCGGATCGGCGCAGGGTGAGATTGATGCGCTCCCGGTAGTCGCGCGCCTTGTGCTGGAACCTCATCGAGTTCTGGTTGGCCAGCTCCATGCTCCACTTGTCGTTCAGCACCATGAAACGGCCGCGGAAAACGCGATCTGGCAGCGGCTCCGGTCGGAAATAGGTATCTGCATGGGGTAAACAATCGGTTGGTAAGGGCAGCTATGGCAAGAGAAGCGTTCACTGAAGTACTAACATCCGACGTAGACGAAGATTCCGGCGACGAGCAGGGCGATGAGGAATCCAGCGATGACGGCACAGCCGCACTTTTGGCCATCGCCCAGTTTCCGGCGCGTGAAGCGGATGTCCGAGTCGGTGGACAGGACGGACTCGGACTTTCGCCTCAAGCCGTGGTTGTGCTGGTGCATGTGCAGTTGGTGTTCCCGCTCCCGCTCCCGCTCCCGTTCTCTGTCTCGATCCCTGTCTCTTTCCCGCTCCCGCTCCCGATCCCGTTCTCGTTCCCGCTGCTGCGTGGCCTCCAGTGGCGGTCCCAAGGCCAGGCCGGCTGCTCCTGCGCCGGCGGAAGCGGCACTTCCATTGCCGTGACTGTGGTGCGGCTTGTGGTGCCTTGTGCATCGGGTGTTGTGGAAAACCTTCGGCGGCTGAGCCGTGGTGCCCACGCCGCCACTCGGATTGGGATTACTCTGGACAATGCCCTGCGAACAGCCGAATACAAATAAGGAAAAAAGAAAGACACAATCATCAGTATTAAGCACTTTTCGGCGGACTCAATAATTAAGCCAGGTCGCTGACCAGCTAAGCGCCTTAAATGCTGTTCAATTTTCAGCAAAATCATGCCGTTAAATCAAATCACGGAACGAACCGGCTGTGAAAACTCTCAGAAACAAAAACAAAAAGAAGCGGGGAAAAATGCAAAATCTCGCACTTGAAAATTAGGATTTTTCTCGTTTTTAATGCCGCTGCAGCATGCAAATGCGGCATGCAATATTCGGGTATTGTGCGAGGAAGCGCTGCATTAATTAAGGAAATTCCTATTGCAAATCGGCATTCGTTTTCTGGTTACTTGTGCTGTGTATTTACGTTCAGCAATTAATTAATTGCGCGCCGTTGGCGTTGCCAACTTAATGAAGCGTGGCAGGGCGGCGTTGCCAACCGAAGTGCGGCTACCGCTAACCGGAGGTTTGTTTGAATTTGAATTTGAATTTAGAAGCACGTTCAATTCAATAATTCAAATAAATAATTCATCATTGAGGTACAATCAGTGTGGTTTCCACAGCTTCTGTTTCTTTTAAGCAGACCGAAATAGCACGTAACATAGCGGCGCCAGAAGGGGGCAATTGGCTTTTATGTTGCAGTTGCGAAAGCGGCTAAAGCAGAAAGACAGAACGCAGACACGGGCACAATTTAGAAAAACAATTAAAGCGCAACTAAGGTAAGGGGAAAAAGCACTGCCGGCTGTTGCCACCACTTTTCTTGGGGCCAAGACGAAAACGGGTCAGCGCTCGGCCCAGTTTCAGTTTTTCTCGTCGGCTGCGTGCTTCCATGTGAAGTGATTCCAAGTGATTCCAAGTGAATCCATGTGGTTCCATGTGATGTGATGCTGCTGGCGAAGCCAACTGAACAGCAATAACAATGCAAACTAATGTCCAGCGAACAACAAGTAATTAAACCGAAATGGCTTCCTCGTTTCATAATCCCCACATCGCTCAACACTTTTCACCACTTTCGGCCAATTCCACACTCTTAACACTCTTACGCACTTTAACACTCGGCCGCCCAGTTTCCCAATCGCATTTCGCCAATTTTTATACCGTTACTCGTGGAGTAAAAGGGTATACTAGATTCGTTGAGAGGTATGTAACAGGCCGAAGGCAGTGGCATACCTCCAAATGTTTCTGGCGCAGTTCTCTAAAAATCTGCATTCAAATTTAGAAATTCATTTTTTTTTTAATTTTATTTTGGTGTTAAGATGTTGTAGAAACTCAAAAATGTCGACTATAGCATTCTATCTTGTTATTACTTCTTCTGGGCCGCCTCATGTCAACTGGGCGTCGGAGGGTTAAAGTCGGGGTGTGCGAGTCAAGAGTCAGTCGGCCGCATAGCGGTTAACGTACGCGGCGCACGTGCAGCGAAAATTCGCAGTTACCTCATCTGGATTCGGATCTTTTGCACTCGCATTTTGCCGCAGTTTGCTGCATTTTCGCGCATTTTCCTGCATTTTCCAGCAGCACCGCAACTCTGCGCGCATCACTTTCGCTGCTGCTTTTCCCAATTTCCCTAATTACCGCACAGTTGCGTTAATTGGGCTCACCTTCCAATTTTTGCCGTTCGTCTGCATGCTCTTCTCCTTGTTGCGATTGCTGCAGTTGCTGTTGTTG